GAAAAACTTTATAGACAATGCATCTCGTGCAATGCTTTAATGATATAAACAGCAAACACTTGAGCAAATTGCGCATGTAAACAGCCCAAGGAAGCGCTTCCAAGTGGGTTAGGCAACAACAACAGCGACAACAACACGAAAGGGTATACCGGGTGCTAGACCCTGAAAAGTGATTAAAAAACAAGAAGAGAAACTTGTTGTAGAAACGACAGCAGCAGCGACAGCAGCGGAAGCCGAGGAAGCAGCGGTGTTGACAGCGTTTCGTCCTTGGGAAAAGGTTTTAAGCATACCAGAGTCGAGAGACGGAGACAGTGGGCGGGGGTCCGCCGAGCCGAAAAAAGCCTTTTTGGCGCAATAACGGTACAAGCGTTACAGTTTTTCATTATAGAAACCGTAATTGGAAAAGTGTTTTGGGGCTGGCACTCGATGCTTTTAGCTCAAATGTCAGACAATGCAAAGAGCCAGAGAGCTGGGTGGCGGGGGAGCGAAGGCGTTGGTAGGAGCAGGATGCTAGGCAATGTGTTGTCCGATTTGTTGGCTTTTGAGGGTCGTCGCCAGGGAGCAGAGATGGTAGGCATTGCCTGGAACTGGTGGGGCCTGGGGCTTAGCTGGCAAAGGATTGGGTTCTGGTCGGCTGCTTGCTGAAGCGCAGCTGCTTGGCTTATTTAAGCACAAAGGACGCGCCGCAGGACAAAGACGAAGAGCAGCGTTCGGTCGGGAGCAGCCGGCGCACAATTTGTCCTTAACGTTGCAATCGCTTTGCTTGTTGCTTGTTTGCCTTTGTCTAATTGTTAACCATTTTTTGTCTCACTCACACATTGTGTGTGTTTGTGTGTGTGTGTGTGTGTGTGTGTGTGTTTCTGTTTCTATATATATTGTTGCATTGTTTGATTGTCGCACGCCTCAGCATTGTCCACATGTGTGTGTGTGTGTGTGTGTGTGTGTGTTGCCAGGCCAAATAACATTTGTCTAATGAAAGACGCCAGGGCTCAGGGCAACTCTGTCCTTCTCTATCTCTCTCACTCTGCCTAGCTTGCTTCACGCTTGACTATTTTAAGCATATTACATATTATTCATTATTATTATTATCATCATCATTGCCATTGCCATTGCCGGACAGGAATTTCATGACTCGATGTGCACATCCATCAAAATGTTTGCCAGGCCACAGAAACAATTCCATAATAGAGTGAACAAAACCAATTACAAAGTGCAACAGCTGTTGCCTAGACGGCAATTATATACCCTAACGTGTGGGGAATTATATATAGAAATGTTGTACAAGCTCCACTTACTTTTCTACTCTGCCATAGACGACGTAACATCGTGCCTTATGCGTAGCCCGTTTCGGTTTTCATCGGTTGACTTTCAGTTCTCAAATCTAACAGAGAATTTAGTCAGCGGCAGCTGCAGCCTTTTGTTCCTCTGTCAACTGGAACACTTTTGAAGTCCTTTCACTGCCTAACTCCTAGCTTTGCTATATTTCATAATGCTCATGTGCAATTCAATCATTGGCTCGTAGCTGCAATCTAGTTTGTGGTCAACTTTAGCATGGAGCATAATTTGAAAAGGACGTAAATTGTAGAGCAGCAACGGGTGCAAGTGAATTGGCAAATGTTGCATGCAACAGAATGATGCAAATTGCAAGTTTGATGCGAGCTGAAAACGATTTGTGATTTACTCGTTGGTCTAGCCACAAAAATTCCAATTACCAGGAGAGAACGTGAACTTGCAGGGATTCAAATCTGTGCAAGAGACATGCACGCACACACGCACACGCTGTGTGACATAAGCAACAACAATGTGGTTTCCATATGTGTGAGCGTGTGTGAGTGTGGCAGGCAGCGCAGAAAAGTATGCTACAACAATTTCGCACGGCGCTGTTAATTGGAAACTGTGTGTGCGAAACTGTAAAACCAATACACACACACACATACATATATAGAAAGAGAGCGCAGAGAGAGAGAGAGAGAGAGAGCGGTGGCGTCCTGTGCAGCAGATTCACAGCTCGCATTAGCTGCAGTTGAGCGAGTGTCAAGGTGAGGCCAGGTGCGACGCAGCCAGGCAGAAAACAGGCAACAACCAGCTGGCAAACAACAACATTGGCAGCAGCAGCAGCAACAACAGCAACAGCTGGCTAAGCTGCTGCACTTTTATTTATTTTTTTTTCGGGGGCCCCATATCTAGATTTGGCATCTGGCCAAATCACGTAATCGGCGACTTGTTTATGGCGCATGTGCCAAAATGGAATGGGCCCAATATTCTCTGAATTGTGCAAAAAACACACAATAAAAACGTGCGCCAGTCACAAGTGTTCGACTAGCAAATACCCAACTAATAGCCAATATCAATCAAGCCTAAACTTTTTGAGCTGACCTACATCAATATGAAGTTTACCATAAGCTCAAAAATAATAATAAATCGTTTAAAGTCTACATAAACTGTAGTTAAATAAAAGTAAAAAGATTTAAAATTTGAAATTTTCAGCTTTTCAAGAGCTTTAAATATGCTTTAGTATGAATCGATATTTATCGATAATTGCGACTTGTGCGCAATATGCAAATGAGTCATAGTTCATCCAATCACCGTTATTTACTTCTGCCTGTTGCATAAGCAGTGACGAGCACCATGCTACTCCTTATTGGCCACTTGCTCAGTGGGCACAGGGTATAATTAATTTCAATTAGCGTCAATTTGTTGAACGTCCTATTTGCGCCACACGGCAATTTGCAATGCTTTTAAAAAAGCCCAAATAAAAATTATTCATAAATCACATTTAATTCGATTTGCTTGAAACTGCTTTAAATATGTGAAGAAAAACGTAGCTCGATTTAAATTTATATTTTTTATTTGTATTTTTTTGCCCTGTGGCAAATGCGAAAATTATGGCTTGCTGCTGCTGCCGCTGCGGCACTTGAAAAGCGCTTTACAGCATATGCCACGCCTCCCAGAGGGAGCGCGTTGCGTGGAGGTTGAGGCTTATGCGCGACCAGCTACTGCGTCCACTGGGAATCGTTACATTCTGCGCGCATAATATTTGCATTCGTTTGCTTTTGTCTTTTACAGTTTTTTTTTTCTACAACATCTGAGCATGTGCCACTTGTTTCGTGGGCGTGGCAGTCCCTAGTGCCTAGCGCTAACTGTAAATGACAATCTGAACAATCTGGTTAATTATGCAAAAAGACTATATAATATATCGACTGACTGTCGGGAGCATTCAAAACGGATTGTCAAACAGCCAGTCGAAGCAAATCAAATATTACTTGACTTGACTAGTTTGACGCTAAGCTGGCTCTTAATATATTATACAGTAAAAATTCTTTAGATGTGATTGTAGAATGCTGCTTTGATCAAGATTGATGGGGTTTCAATTTTGAGCAGAAAACTAATTTGACTCTATCTAGATCTTCTTTCTTGTCTGCTTTGATCAGGGTTTGATTATGTTCTTTTAATGTTTATATTTATATAATTTCAAATTAAAATTTTTTTATAATAACATATTATAAATTTTTTATAATAATATTTTTAATAATATATTATAATAATAAATTTTTATATTAATATATTAAAGGCGCAATATTTAAACAGGTCTGCAGATGACTATATAAATATATAAGACTGATATAAGACTGTTTAAATAGTACAAGATGACTATATAGTTTATTAGATATATTTTTCTTTGAAAAGTCTAAAATCTATATGTGTAGACAGGGCATTAGATAGTTCGTATCACGAATGTTATTCGTAGCTTAACTATGTTTATAGCTGCTTTTATGGCTGGCGGAGCACTTTCAATTAAATTGCAATTTGCGTTGATATAAAATTGCAATTGACGTAATTGGAACTCTGTGTCACTGTGTGTGTGTGTGTTTTTAGTGTATGTGTACGTATGTGTGGGTGTGTGTGCCTATTGGGTGATACTGCTGACATTTTTAAATGCACTCAAATGGCAACTGCACATGAAACGGCAATCAGCATAATTTTAACGATAAATGCAGTTAAAGTTAATTGCATGTAAAAAGTGAGCGCGCGTTGACAGCACTTCATAGGTAATTACATCTCTATCTCTATCTATACATATGTGCACATGAGATATGCATGCGCGTATCTATCCAAGGGGCGCACAGATAACGTATGCGTTAATATACAGTTACAGCCGCCGAGTCGCAGTGTGTCAGCAAAGCCGCGTTAATTTCGAGTGAAAATATTCATTACTCAATGAAAAAGCTGGCTAAAAGGAGGGAATTTATGGCTTGAATCATATGTGAACTGGTTCGCATTTGGTTTACATTTATGTAATGCAGTAAATCTAAGTGCAGATAGACATATGAACTAGTTCATTTTGAGGTATGTTGCTATATTAGAATAATCAGCTGAAATTTTGTGTGTCGCTTTTGTAGCAAAAAGTTTTCAATCATTTAAAAGCTGGTTACTTATAGTTATTAAATATTAAAAATACTTGAACTAGTTCATTTGAGCTTTATATTTAGAGCATATACTCTAATGGCTATATATTAAGATATGATTCGGTAGATGACTGAGTGGTAGGAAGTTTTATATAATTTAAAGCTGAATTTTTAAGCTCTTTAAGCAGTAGAAATATTTGAACTAGTTCATTTGGCCTTTGCATCTAGCGCATATACTTTACTATATATTAAGATAAGATTCGGTAGATGATGTAATTTAAATGATATATATATATAGATGATATAATTTAAAGCTGGATTTTCAAGCTGTTTAAACAGTAGAAATATTTGAACTAGTTCATTTGAGTTTTATATTTAGAGCTTATACTTTAATGACTATATAAAGCTAAGATTCGTTATATGATTGCGTAGTAGAGAGTTTCATATAATTTGATGTTTGTTTAGCCTGGCAAGAAAAATGCATATGAACCAGTTCATAGAAGACTTCTTCTATCTGTTTATGAGAAATTCAGTTCGCTTGAAATTCACTTCACAAGTAAAGATTTAGTTTTGCTTACGGGAAAATGTTAGTTGTTCGATCAGTTTTACATTATTTTTAACAAACGTCGGAAACAAAATTTAAGTTTACTTTTTATATATTTTTTTTTCAAAATTATAAGAAATGTTCCGTTCTTCTTCGGGTCTGCGGCGTCTGATATGCGTTAAAAGTCTCACGCGTACCTGTACAGGCCGATCTCCCAGGTGTCCGAAAATTAAAAAGACGGGCATTTTTATCAACAATCAGTGGTGCACTAGCAAATCGGGCGAAACTTTTGAGACCATAAATCCTGCCACTGAGGACACAATTACTTCTGTTGCGCGAGGAGGCTGCGAGGAGATAGATCTAGCTGTGGAAGCAGCTCAAGAGGCGTTCTTATTGGGCTCGCCATGGCGTCGCATGGATGCCTCGGACAGAGGGCGACTGATGAATCGCCTGGCTGATCTCATAGAACGTGACATCGACTACTTGGCCAGCTTGGAGACACTCGATAATGGCAAGCCCTTTGCCATCTCCAAGGCAGTGGACTTGCCTCTGACTATTAAGCATCTGCGATACTATGCCGGCTGGGCAGACAAGATTCACGGCAAAACCATTGCCGCCGACGGTGACTTCTTTTGCTATACGCGGCACGAGCCAGTTGGTGTGTGCGGCCAAATTATACCCTGGAACTTTCCCCTTCTGATGCTGGCCTGGAAATTGGGACCAGCTCTGGCAACGGGCAACACAATTATTCTGAAGCCAGCCGAGCAGACGCCGCTGACGGCTCTGTACGTTGCACATCTGATTGAGAAAGCAGGCTTCCCGCCAGGCGTAGTGAACATAGTGCCTGGCTATGGTGATATTGGCGCCTATCTAGCCCAACATTCTGGTGTCGACAAAATCGCCTTCACGGGCTCCACGGCCGTGGGCAAACAAATCCAAAAGGCTGCTGGTGAAGAAAACCTGAAGCGAGTGACTCTCGAGTTGGGTGGCAAATCGCCAAACATAGTTCTAGATGATGCTGACCTGGAGTATGCTGTGGAGACGTCCCACTTTGGTCTATTCTTCAACATGGGTCAATGCTGTTGCGCCGCTTCACGCACCTATGTTCAGGATGCGATATACGACGATTTTGTGGAACGCAGTGCGCAGCGCGCCAAGAAACGCGTTGTGGGTGATCCCTTCGATATGGAGACAGAGCAGGGCCCACAGATCAGCGAGAAGCAGATGAAGAAGATCTTGAAGCTAATCAAAACGGGCAAAAAGCAGGGAGCTAAGCTTGTCGCCGGAGGTGAACGAGCTGAACAATCGGGTTACTTTGTGCAGCCCACAGTCTTCGCTGATGTCAAGGACAACATGACCATTGCTAAGAAGGAGATCTTCGGACCTGTGCAGCAGATAATGCGCTTTAAGGACCTGGAGGAGGTAGTCGAGCGTGCCAATAACTCAGAATACGGCCTGGCCGCATCAGTTTTCACCAAAGACCTGGACAAGGCCAACTTTCTGGTCAACAGTCTGCGCGCTGGCACCGTTTGGGTCAACACGTATAATGTGCTTGGTGCACACACGCCCTTCGGAGGCTACAAGATGTCCGGCTGCGGGCGTGAGAACAGCGAATATGCGCTATCAAATTATACCGAAGTTAAGAGTGTTATTGTCAAAGTGTTAGAGAAAAACTCCTAAGTGTGACTTACAGGTTTTAGAAGACAGACTGCAATATTTATTGTATCTTATTACGGACGCTTTATACCAATTGAATAAATTTTACTTTGAGAGATCGAATGACGGACTTGCAAACTTTGTAATTACTAAGCTTGATATAAAATCAATTTATCACAGTTATAATTGCCTTACGACAATTTTGTAGATGGTCTAAAGCAGAAACGTGGCATGACGGGAATTGCATATTTACTCAGGCTTCAGGGTATCTGCTAGTCAAGCACTCCCTTTCTTGCAACTTGTTTACGACTGCTATAGCTGACTAGCTTATAGCCCTCCATTAAGACACATCCAGTGAGAGCAATTTATAATAACTTCCCTTTATTGAAGTTTACCGAAAGTCTCACGAAGATTGAGTTATGAACTATAACGCTTAGCTATTATTAACTAAAGAAAAAAAAAGTGAAAACTTGATGCTTAAATGTTGATTAAAGTTTTCCATCCATTTTCACAAATGATGTGCACTTTTCCTTTTTTTCGAAATTGCGTTATGTAATTGAACGCTGCAAAGGCGGAGGAAAAGTTGGTCCGTCTTTAGGGCACTCGACAGGGCTCGTAGTTTTATTAATTATGAAATTGCTTCCATCTATATATAGATATTTTGTGTATGTGTAGGCGAGAAGTTGGCAACTTTGACTTGAAGTTTGCAACGCTCGAGTAAAATTTGAATATTTGTCTTTTTTAATACCCTGTTCGTATTTTGGGTAGATTTGCATCTTAAATGAGCTGGAGAATGTTGAGAAGAAAGTGTTTTTGTTCTTCAGTGCTCTCACTGAGCCTTACATAAACAGACTCTCAGACAAGCCCAGCTGAAAGCCTCTAGTTTAGATCTATTTCATTTCTTGACCGTCTTTCCTCTAATATTCTGCTGTATATATGTCCTATACCTACCCCACAGAAATAGATAAATATGTAAAGTAGATAAATATATGAATTGATCTCTTTGGAGCCCAACAAATTTGTTTATTGTCTAGTATAAGACAGATTGCAAATAAAAACAGCGATTAATAAAAAAAAAAAAAACTACAATTCTACGCCAACAGCTTGCCGGGTATCTGCTAGTCAGTCACCTTACCTTAGTTCTTGCTAGCTTTATTATCTTTGCTGCATTTTTGACTATAAGAAAGAAACTTTTCTCATTTGCAGATGTGCGCGCTGTGCCACACGTGGAATAACAAATTGAAGCTGCCCAGCACGTCACGCCCACAACGATTACAAGTGCTGCAACTAGACGATAAAGAAGAGGGACAACAAGCACGGGACGAAGAGAAAGAGCAACAGCAACGGCAACGGCAACGGCAACGGCAACACACAAATTTTTATACAAAATACCCCGAACAACTCTAGTGATATGGAACTGTGCATAGCAACAAAGTCAAAAGCTCAAAGTTCAATGCATGAAAGCAACTATCAAAATATTAATATTAATAATAATAAAAGTGAAAGCAACAAAATATGCCACCAAAATCAAATGAATACTCTAACGAATACTCAACTATTCAGCCACAAATGCCACACGAAACACAGAGATCGAGACCACCTGAAAAAGCAACAACAAAACCAACGAGCAACTGCACAAAATAGCAACAAACACAACAACAACACCAACAACAACAACAACAACAACAGCAACAATTGCTATCTGCCATGCCACAGACTTTATCAACTGCTGCCACTGCTGCTACTGCTGTTAGCATTGCTGCCACATGCGACAGCATCACCCGGCAGTAGTCGACGTGATGCTCTGCTCGCCTACTATAAACGTGCTCAGGTGCGCGAGAGCGTGCCGGAATACCAGCTGCACGAGGCGACCGGCTTTGATTTCGATGAGCTGTTGCCCGTGGGCAGCGTGGTGTCCGCTCTGACTAATGCGGAACGCTTACGCAAACGCAGCGCCACAACAACAACAACAACTGTCGAAGGCACACCACCAACAACGGCAGCGACAACAACAACAACAGCACCACAAACAACCACATCAGCAACAGTCACAGCCACTGGCAGTAGCAGCAAAAAGCCAGAGAAATGTGAGCCAAAAGTCCTAGAGACGCTGCCCGATGAGCCGGTAAGTTTTGACTATTTGTCATTAATACTTAGATTAACACTTTTTAATAATAAATACAAGCAACTGATGGGGACATTTGTACCTTCAGCAGTGGAGACGCATAATAGTCCATTAAATGCTTAAAACTGCTCATAAGGCAAACATAATTCTTATTTTAACAGATATTCTCATAGCTCATACATGAGACTGCTATTAACAGTTTCTCTGTAAGAGCGACGACTTACAGTCTGTTAAGATATTGAAGATTTTATAAGCCATTCGAATAGCTAATGCATATCACTGTTATTAACATTTCTGCTGCTTTAGGAACAGCTATGAGAGCTGTCTGTTAAATCTTAAAAGTACATAAGGCAGCTCTTAACAGTCTTTCTGTAAGTTTCGTTCTCACGAGCGATGATTTACAGTCTGTTAATGTATTCAAGCTTTTATAAGACAAGCAAATCACTGTTATTAACATTTCTGCTTCTTAAAGAACTGCTATGAGAGCTGTCAGTTCAAATTAAACCAATCTGCTCTACTAATTTGATATGGAGATCAGTGTCAAATAACTCAATATTCTTCTTTTAATACCGTTTTCGATTTACTAGTTTGAGATGTGAGCTTACGGGAATAAAAGAGCACTTTAAAGCGCACCATAACTTTGTTGACAGAACATTTATCAGATTTAATTGGATAATCCATTAATTATCTCAATTTGGTAAGCTATTTCTGTCATCCAGTTGGGTCATTTGGGAGACAATGGTTTTGGTTGTGGGAAAAATTGCAGCTTGCAATCGACCCAAAGCGGGCAATTAGCATGAATATTTAAAACTGCTAGCTTGGCAGTTGATAAAATGCTACTCGGTCGAAACTGTCACAAGCAGAAGCGGCAGCAGCAGCAGCAAAGGGGCGGGGCGATTTCTTTTTTCGGTGTCTAATCAATAAAATTGCTGAGGCAGCAACCCCACTTGGCACCCTGGTCTCCCACTGACGTGGCTTCTCGAGCATAAGTTGAATCAGGCTTTCGCATTTTCATGCTGACAAAAATCTTTTTGCGCGCACGAAATTCGAAAGAAAAACCCAGCCAAGAGCCCGTCCCGCCACGCCATGTTGTTGACGGTCGTAAAAAATATTTCGCATACGCCATGTCTGACGCACATACTATCTAGCCACAAGACGAGGGCGAACAGCGCATGGGGTGTAGCAGGGTTACAGGTATTACATGGGATTTGCAAGCAGGCAGCCGACAGTAGGAAAACAGCTCGTCGTCTGCTTGACGGCATGTCACGCGTTTTGCTCTCGCAAGTTAATTAAAAGATACTAAAGAAGTCACAGCCACAGGCTCTGGGTGGTATCTTGGCCTGTATCTGGCTGCCAGTAACTGGCGTGCGGTCTATCAACGATATTTTAATTGAATTTGCATGACAATTCCAGTGCGAACTTGAAATTTAAAGATAGCGAAACTCTCAACCACAACCTCATCAGCCAATCAGCTAGTCAGAGATGAGCGCGTGACTGTCATTAGATATGATAGATATACGAATGTATTTTACAAGCGGAAAATGTCATTATCGATAAATTGGCATATCAGCTTAAAGTGTTATCGAGCTGTGAGTTAGCAAGCAACGTCTTTTATTTATATCGATAGCCAATGTTAATCGTGCCTAGTCGCATTTTCCAATTTTAAATTCTTCCATCAGTTGCTTTGCAGCTATTTTTAGCCAGCTGCGCGATTCGTATAAATATTCAATGGGACAACGTGTAAACAATGTGCCACGTCGCAGCAATTCCACTTCTTGCCTGATTCGCCCACTCATATACACACTGAGAGAATGGGCGATCGATGAGGCTGACTGGCTTGCTGGCTGGATGCTGGGCCTTGACGCAATTGCCAAGCAGCTGAGAGCCATAATTAAAAGATACAATTTCAATTGCTCTGAACAAAATGGCAAGCAAATTTGTAAATTGCCATTAGGTTGCTCTTGGTGTGTGTGTGTGTGTGTGCGATTTGGATCTATACACTTGAGTGTGTCATACTTAGCCACGTAGGTCCCCACTTGGCTATATATAAAAACGCTGTACAATATAATGAATAAAGTGGCGCACATTGCAGCACAGCTGGGCTTGGGGTAGGAGTCAAAAAAATAATAATAATAATAAAAAAAGCAGCTACTGGGCACACCGAAGCTCGAATACTCTAACAATTGTTAAACGTTCAAGTAAGCAGAAAATAATTTTTTCCTAAAAAGTTTCTTAGTTAATGAAGATTTTCAGCTTGTCAGCCGTACAGTGAAGTTTCCCGTTTAAACTTAAAAGATTTTCCTTCTATAAGTTACATAGTTTATAACATACTTATAATACTCTTTGGCGGTGTATGCTGAAGCGCATTTGGGAGCTTGTCCCGGCTGCCTTTTGTTTGGCTGTGCGGCTCTGGTCAACAGCGGACGCGTTGTCCAATGCCTGTCAAGCGTTATTGTTGTTGCTTGTTCTTATTGTTATTGTTATTGTCATTGTTGGTGCTGTTGCTGTTGCTGCTCCTCTTGGCAGCGTTTGCTTTTGTTACGCTTCAACAACAGGCTCACAAATTTATATGTACGCTGTGCCGCTGCCTATTTGTTTGCCTTTGTTTCAATAACAACGACAGCCGGCACAGCAACGACAACCACAGTGAAGCAACAACATAACTAACACAACACAATGCAACGTCAAAAATATTTAACTAATTGCACCCCGCTGATTTAGCTTGTGCATTGCATCGGAGTTATATCTTATACAAAAAGAGTTTTTCAATAGAATACTTTTATGATTTATTTATACTTACAACCATTTAAACAAGAGCTATTGAACTTTTTCTTTTGCATCGTAAATAATTGCAATATAAATAAATAGAAAAATTGTTTTATTCTCAATAATAAATGCAAGAATATAACATAAAGATGCCATCTGTTAACAGAAAATGTTAGATTAACAGCTGTTAACTTTCTAAATACTGAAATGAAAAAAGTGTTGCATAACCTCT